TTTGAAAGAACGAATTTCTGTGGTCTTTCTGCACAGCAGTGCACAAGCCTAATGTATGGTAAGCCCTTGGAAGGTCTGTGGGATCTGAACTGCCCCTGTGAAATGCCCATTTCTCTTCCTCTGCCAGGCCCAAGGAATGCAGTTGGTGACGAAACACCGCTTGAGCAGCAACTTCCCTTTCTGCACCCCCATCAAATCTCAGTCTTGAGAAAATAATTGTATTTTGAAGATCTGTAGTGAGAATAAGGTGTGGGATGTGATGGCGTCCTCGCTTTGCGCAGACACGCGAGGCTTTTGTACCCACTCCAGAAGGAGGAGCTTTGCTGCAGCGAAGCAGCTGGGTGTGATGCAGTGTGTGTTATTTGGAGGCAGGCAGTCTCCCTGTGCAACTGTGGGGCATCTGTGAGCCCACTCCTCTCCAAGGCCAGACTGTCCCAGGCAGTGAGCCTGCCCTGCTGCCTGCAGCCAGAGCTGGCTGATGAGGCGGCTGATGGCTGCCATCCTTCTCATTTCCAGTACTGCACGCTGCTCATGTGATAATTGTTATAGATTTTATTGAGCAGGTGTGGCTGGAAAAGGGGAGGTGAGAACTGCCTCTTGGATACACAGGCTGGGATCCGGAGAGTGTGATTACTTGGCAAGGGTCAGGTAATGGTCTGATGGCTCTCCTTCATCTCAGGCGACCTCCCCCAGGTCCTGTCTGACTTTGCACTGCATCTCTTGGCTGTGTGCATTGGTCAGGGAGCTGTAGTGCAGACCTGGAGCAGAGGGAAGGAAAGGGGCTGTGCAGAGCCACAGAGCTGCCAGCAGAGCTGGGTGATGCTGTTAGTCACATACCTGCTGTTCGCTTCTGTGCGGATCTGTAGCAGAGGAGATGGGGCTGGAATGTGGTAGCAGTCAAGGGAAGCAGTTGAATCCCATATCTGTGTTGTGCTGGGCAAACAAATTAACTGCTGGTGATAAGAGACAGGTGAAACTCATGGCCAAGAGCCCAGCAGTTGTGTGGGGCAGAGTCCAGTGAGGCAGATGTGGACACCAGGTCAGAGGACGTGCCTGGGAGGGGTGCAGAGCAGAGGGGGCTGTTGGTGTGTGGGCTGTGCTGGCACTGCCAGGCAAGCCTGAAATCAGCCAGTAAGGGTAATGAATCCCACATTGGCCAGCCCTCTGTAAACATCTTGCTGGGAAGAAGCACGTCCTGACCTTGCTGGGAGTCCCTGCTGCAGGAGAATCTCTGCTTTCCAGTAAATCATCTCCCATCCACAGACTGCTGTGGCAGTTCCCACCCTCCCTCTGTGCCTGCTGCATTTCCTGCTAACAGAATTAGTCACTTCTGCATCTTCTGGTTTGTCCAGTCAGGCCGATTACGGTTGCTGTCTAAAAATAAATTACGTAGCTGTTCTGCTGAGGAGTGGGAAGGTTTGCTTACATACTGGATGTCACTGGGAGCTGCATGCAGGAGATCTCGGAGCACAGCATGCATCTCTGTGCACACTCCTCTCCTGATCCTCCTCGCAGTCCGTGCTCCAGGAGAAACTGAGGTGTGGGAGAAGTGAGGCACCCTCTGAAAACAGGCGCTGAGTGCAGGAGTCCCAGTCCTTGGTTTGTTTTGCTGAGAAATCAAGGCTTTGCAGAGATGAGATGAGATGTTGAGGGTGGCACGGGATGCTGCGGTTCCCCACGCTGCAGCCCAGCAATCTGACCACTAAATGAACAGCTGAAGGCTCACCTGCTGCTTGGTTGAGGGCTTTTTGGTCTTCTTTTTTTGGGGCAGTTTGGGCTGTTGCTTGCTCTTCCACATCAGGAAAAGACTCGGATTATTAAACGCTGACTTCCCGACTCTTCACCATCCCCAAAGGATATTTTGAGGAGGCCCAGGCACGTGCTGCTGTGCAGGAAGCTCCTTCTTGTCACCTGGAGGCTTTTCAGAAGTAAGCTGCGGAGAAAGCATTCTTCCCTCTGTGCCCTGGTGGCTGCAGCTCAGGGTAAGCTGCTCCTGAGTGCCTGTCCTGCCTCCTCAGCTGTGACACACAACTTTCTGGCCCTTTCACTCGCTTGGCACGTGTCTTTCCTCCCAGGACACTGCAGGCACAGCACCAGTCGGAAACCTCTGTGCCTACCAGAGAGCCCTGCAGCCAGCAAGGGCTGAGCGAGGAGGAGCAAGAGGAAGTAACTGAACCTGTGACTAACGCGGGCAGAATATCAAGGAAGGTTTTCTGCTAAGGTTTAGAGAAGTCGTTTCCTTGTGAGGGCTGAGAGAGTCGGACCTCGGATCGCTTTGTGCTGGCGAGTGTCTCTTGGGGAATCATGAACAAGGTGAGAGCAGGACATGCGTTCACATCCTCTCTGATTTACATCTGAGATGCTGTTGTGGTGAAGGGAAGGTTTGATCCGTGTGAGGGAAATGCACGGCAACAGTCAGCTAAAGGAGATTGGAAAAATGGTCATCTTTCTCTTCATTTTACTGTGATCTTTTGGCTCTTTCTTGCTTTTGGTTCCATCTGGTTTCTGCCTGGCTGAGGGGCACTGAGCAGCAGTGGAGAGGAGCAGTTTTTCCCCGACAGGCAGGAGGGGCAGCAGCAAAGAGGATGTGCAGCACACTGAGTGTGGAGCAGTGGCTGAACTGTGCCATTTGGACACAGATGTGTCTGGTACTAAGGTCAAATGGGTGCTTTCTGTGCTGAGTGTGGGCAGGACAGATTACTCAGAGGTTGGGACAGAGCTTTGTCTGAAATCTTCTGGCATGGTCTGGTACATTCCATGGTGCTTGGGGAATGCTTCAGATCCTTTGTATCGACAAGGGACTTGTCAGGAATCACTGGTGCTTGCCCAACCTGCAGTATGCAACAGGTTTTCAAAGCATCTTCATGCATGTCAGAGGAGGCTGGGAAACAATTGTGAGGTGTGAGCATGGGCGAGGATGAGACCTTAGAAGAGAGGGTAGGGACAGAAACCTCTTTATCTCTGGACACTGGAAGCCCAGGAAAGCTGCTGCCAGGTGAACATCATTAAAGCCCTGGAGGTTGTTCTCTTGCCTTGGGCTCCTGCAGATGTTAGAAGTGAATTAAATACTTTCCTTTTGCTGACAACAGCAGCGTATTGGAAATTCTGGAGGCCAGGTTCCTGGGAAGGGTTGGCTCTGCAAGCAGTGGGGAAGGGGAGATGCTGGTGAGGTTTGTGGTTGGGTTCTTCCCTTTATGTGTCCTTTACGTGAACTGTGATGGAAGACTCCCGAGCAGAAGGTGTGGGGGATTTGTTTGCTTTGGGAACTGATGGTTTGAGTGTGCAAAGATGGTGCATCAGGCACAGAATCTTGATTTGATGGATGAGTTTCTTGACTTGAGGCGTATACTTGCAGTCAAGTTCTCTTTGTGTGTTTTCTCTTACAAAGTTTTGCATTTTCAAGTTCTGTGTGATGGTGGAAGCTAAGCCAGCAGCAGAGCAGTCGCAGTGGGATGATCCTTGTGGCCTTCTGAGCCTTTTCTTTCTGCTGGCAGTGGCTGGATGTTGATGACAGAAACAGTCTGACACCTCAGAGATGATGCGGTTCATTTTGATTTCTTTTTGCCAATAGTAAATAGCACAATTGAACGAAGGCTTCCTACCCCATGCTATCGTTTTTCCTGAGTTGTTGGAGTTTGTGACATTTGTCTTTGAGCAGTTGGTGATGTTTCTGAGCTCTGACACTGAGAGGGCAAGCAGTGTCTGACCCAGCATCCAGCTGGCTGGAGTGTTACCCCCTTCCAGAGCACAGCAATGCATTTGAAAGAGGCAGATTTGTGCTGGTCAGCATTTTGGGTTGTTGTGTCCTTGCTGTCAGCCGGAGCTGGAGGAGAGGACATGCTGAGCTTCCTCTGTGCACAGCTAGAGCTGCCCTCAGCTGCACAAGCTCTCCCCATGCTGGGGGCACGAGGCAAGCCCTCCCTTCAGAGGACATTTCCAAATTCCTGGTGCGTGCCCTGGCTCTCGGCTACGCCCTCCAGCTTTCATAAGGAGAGCTGAAGTCATCCCTCCTCCTCTCCGTGCGCTGAGTGGGCACACAGGGCGAGCTTGTCTCATCAGCATGGGGATGGGAGGTGGGTTTTCTCTCTCCAGTTTGCCCCAGCTGGAGGATGGAACGCACTGCTCTGACTCCCTGGCCGGGTGAAGCCTGGGCAGCTGCAGGTATGTGGGCAGGGCGAGGAGCTGGGGCAAGAAAGTGAAACTGCAGGCAGCAAGGGCTCACTGACACTGGTTCCTGGCCGTGCTTTCATCCTGTGCGTGCAGAGCAGATGCAGGGCTGCGTGCTGTGACAGAGCCCTTCCCCTCGATGGCCCAGCCCAGCGCAGGGCGGTGATGGCTGAGTGCTGTTGATGCCATTCTTCGCTCCTGGGTGAGACCTGCTGATGTCTGCCAGCACGTTTTGTCCCGAGAGGCGGGCTGGCTGCTGGCGGGGGGGAGGGGGGTTGTTTGGTGTTCATCCTTGTGTTTTATTGCTTCTGTAAGGCGTTTGTTCTGATTGAGAAGGAATGTAGGAGTGTTGTGTTGGCCCAGCAAAAGCACGGCGTGGTGTGATCGTTCAGGGAGGAAGTAGTTTGCCTTCTGTTTCGAGCACACAGCACTGCTGTGTCCTGTGGGGTGGCACACCTGTCTCATAGCTGGTGTTGTGGTGATTTTCTGTCTGCTTTTTCCACTCGCCTTGAGGTTCTGGGTTTGTGACCTGCCACAGCCTTGGGTGCCCCAGCGTTTGCTCCAACTGATCGGCTTGGGTTAGGCCCAGAAGGAAGCACCCACTTCCTTTTGGGGTGTGAGGAGGAGGCACATGTTAGCGCTGCTGTCTGTGCAAGATCCTGCTTGGGGGTGGCTGTGGGGCTGCTGGCCCTGAGGTGTGTGTCGTGCTCTCAGTGATGCCCGAAGGCTCTGCTCTGTGTCTGTAGGTGCCTGACTGCCTTGCAGTGTTGGATCTCTCCAAACCAAACCTGGGGAATGACCTTTCCATTGCTCTGCCCTCTCTTCCCGTACAGGACATGAACAACCTGGAGGAAGGGGTGGAGTTCCTCCCTGCCATGAACTCCAAGAAGATGGAGAAGCGTGGCCCGAAGCGAAGGGTAGTTGTGGCCATTCTGATCATTGCTTTTCTGCTCATCTCCCTTGTCACTGGCCTCCTGGTTTGGCACTTCAAATGTGAGTGTGATGTTAAGCTAACGTGGGGTGGTGGCATGCGCTGGGAACATAACCCTGCTGTTATGGATTTGGAAGAGCTTCATTACCAAGTGTTGCTCACCTGTGAGCTTCCTACAAAGCGCAGTAGCAGCCAGAGGCTCCAGAAAGCAGAGAGCCCTTTCTCCCCCATCACTGGAGATCAGCTGTGCCACAGTCCCTGCCCTGACTGCCTTTCCCTGTGAAATGTTGCCTTCCAGACAGGAACGCTCCTGTGCGGAAAGTCTTCAACGGCCACCTGCGAATTCTGAACTGGGAATTCATCGATGCCTATGAGGACTCCAGTTCTCCAGACTTCATCATGCTGGCTAAGAAGGTGAAGAGCACGGTAAGCATTTTCTTGGATCCCTACTGCTGAGTTTTTATTTCTGTTCTGTGGCCATAGAGATCCTACTTGGAGCTTGGAGCTTTCTCACTTCTCTCAACTCTTCCTGCTCATCACGAGTCGTGTGACTCACTTTTAAATGGATCTTGGTATCACAGCTCCAGCCCGTTGCCACGCTGTCTGCCTGCCCTGTGGCCCAGTGTGCCATGTGGGGTTGCCTAGGCAAATCCCAGGGCTGGCAGGTTACCCAGGTCTGGCATGTAGGGTCAGAGAGAAAAAGCTCTACAGCTGAGCAAGCTTGGGGGCTGGGGCTGAGGCAGGAGCTGGCTGCAGGAATCTGGACACTTGTCTCCTTCTTTCAGCTCTCCTTCTTCCACTCTTTGGCCCCTGCAGATTCCTGCACTCCTGGGATGCTGGGTATGTGTCCTGATTTTCCTCCAGAGGCTTGAAGCTCTGTCTGTCATTGTCCTTTCCGCTCTCCTCACTTAAAGATGTGCTGATCATTCTTCTTTAAACTGCTTTTAGGTAGAAGATATCTACAGGAGTCATCCAGATATTGGTCCTTACCATAAGGAGACAGTAATCACTGCGTTCAGGTGAGTGTTAGGAGATGCTATCTGAGCTGAGATTGGGAGTGTAGGAAAGCAGTTCTGGGGTGTCACGTTGGCCATAAGACCCTCTTTGCTGGGCTGCTGTTGTTGGAGGCACCTCAGTAGTCACCCCAAGTGAGGTGGTAAAGGTTGGGCAGTGAAAAGCAACCTCACAAGCATTGTGCTGAGCCAGAGTATTGCTTTCTTCAATCTGTCTCATCATGTGCTGAGGGAGATGTCTTGGGAGAATTGGATGTGGTGCAGTAAGCCCTATAAGACACAGCAGCTGGTGTCTGGCAGCCTGGAAAGGGTCTTCACGGACTGACCGGGGCCTTTGCTGGACTTCAGTTTGCTCAGCTTGTTATTGAGGCTGTCCCTTTCCTGTGGTCATCCTCCAACAACAGCTTATCATTTGACTGGCCCCCTCTCTTTTGATACGTCAGCCTTCCCATGTGTGTCCTTGCTGTCCTCGCCCTCACCCCATAATCCCCCTCCCTCACAGCGAAGGCAGTGTCATTGCCTACTACATGTCAGAGTTCATCGTCCCCAAGTACTGCGAGGAGAAGCTTGACAGCGCCATGGCAGACAGGCAGAATTTGGTGCAGAGGCTGAACCCACGGCTGCGAAACCCCATGCTGAGGGTGGAGTCGGTCATCGCTTTCCGTGAGTGCTGTGTTACTGTGTGGGACTGGGGAGGAAGGGAGGCTCTGGTGTTTCACTGGAGCACTTAGCTGCCAGTTGTACCCCTCCTTCGGGTGCCCTTGGCTGCAGGGGCTGCTTGCAGAGTAAGCACGAGCCACAGCAGTGCAAACCCTCTTCAGCTTTGTGTGAAGAGACTTTTCACAGCTCAAAGGGTGACAGCACCTCTGTTTCTTCCTGCAGCTGCCGACCCCAGCATCGCTCAGAGTCCTCGGGACAGTAAGTACAGTTCTTCAGTCTCAGTGTAATAGCCTCTGTGCATCCCCAGGTGTCTGCAGGGTGACAGTTTCCCTTTTGGGGTGAGGAAGGGCCTGAGGGGAGGTGCTTTGCCTGAGGCAGATCTCCGTGTGCTGCTTGGAGCCGGTCTGGGGTTGGCCAAACTTGCTGTTATCCAGCAGTGGTGGGTGGCCTGGTCTGTCCTTTGCAGTGCCTTTCTGCAGGAAGGCAAAACTCCAACACGTCTGCCGTCCTCTGTATACCCTGCACCCACGAGAAAGATCTCTCCTCCTCATTTGCCCTGATAACTCTTTGCTGTTCTCCTGGGCAGATAGTTGCCTTTTCACCCTCCACGCCAAGGAAGGGGAGATCACCAGTTTCACCACGCCAGGGTTCCCCCACAGCCCGTACCCCAACAATGCACGCTGCTACTGGACACTGAGGGCAGATGCCAACTCCATCATCAGCCTGACCTTCAAGACACTGGACTTGGAGCAGTGCACAGACAGCAGTGACTACATCAAGGTGTATAACTCTCTGAGCCCTGTGGAGCCCCATGCTTTGGTGAGGTGAGTGTCCCCAGGGTTTGGTGTTCCTTCTCCATAGGGTGGGGAGAGGGGTTCGTGTTGGCTCTGTGTTGGCTCTGTGTGTGGCACTGAGTCCTTGTGGGAGCTGACAGGCTGATCCTGAGCTGCACAGAAGTCCTGGTGGTGGAGCTCTTGTCCCTGCTCAGAGCTGATCTGTGCTACTTGAGGCTCACTGTGCAGCTCCCTAACAGATTCTGTTCCTTCCTTTGTAGGCTCTGTGGGAACTATGCTCCTTCGTACAACCTGACCTTCCTGTCCTCCCAGAACGTTATGCTCGTCACATTGATTACCAACAAGGAGGGGAGATTCCCTGGCTTCAAGGCTGAATTCTTCCAGCTCCCAAAGATGAAAGGTAAGCATAGACCTTGGTCCAGTTTTCCCCTCCTCTCCCTACCACCAGCAGCTGAAAAGGGAAGTGCACCTGTGGCTGTGGTCAGTTTGCCAGCCATTTTTCCAGGGCTGGGAGATGTGGAAGCAAGGTCCCATCTTAGCTCTTTGAGCTTGTCTTGCCTGCAGCTCTCGGCTGCTGTGATGATGTCCCCTGAGGAGGGGAAAATAAGAATTAGGACTGGCATGCAGATGGGTGTATGCAGGAAGTTGGTTTCCTGAGTGCTTTTGAAGCCTTGGAGCAGGAGCTGCTTTCTGCCAGAGATTAACTTAAATGTGTTAAGGTCTGGTGCATTTCTCTCCTTTCCTGCCTCAGCCACTTATGTCTTGGGAAAGCCACATCTCTTTGAATCTCTAATCTGCTTTCATCTTCCTGCTTCTCTTCCAGCGTGTGGTGGGACTCTAAGAGGAGAGAGTGGCACTTTCACCACTCCCTATTACCCAGCACACTACCCACCAGCCACGGACTGTGTCTGGAACATAGAGGTAAGACACATTCTCCTCTTAGCCTTAAATATTGTGTCAAATGAACCTGCCTATATGGGACAGAGTGCAAGTGAGTTTACAGAAGGCACTGCCTAGAGGCTTAGAGTCTGAGATGGCTTGAAGAGGTTTTAGGACTAAAGTCAAAGGCAGAAGAGGCTGAGGGAAGTCTGGACCTTGTGTGACACTTATTGTAGCCCCCAGTAGCTGTAGCTTTGCACAGTGCACTTGATCTGGGCTTTGGGACAGAGCTGTCTCTTGCTGGTAAAACTGCTGGCAGGGTCTATCTTTTGCTCTGGGGGGGTGGATACAGTTGACAAAGGCCAGCCCTCAGCCTTCTTCTGTGTGCTGCTTTAATGTGAGCTCCTAGGGTCAGCAAGCTGAGTGGCTGTCTGAATGACAAGGTGAGCAGTAGTGGCTTTTTGGGAAGGTTTTTCTTCTTCTGCTTGACTTCTTTCCTTTCTCAGTTATCTCTCCTTATCTCAAACATTTTCCCATGTAACTCATTCCTGTATCTATTGCTTCAGAAAAGCAGCATGCCTCTGACTCTTTCCTTTTGCAGGTTCCCTCTAAAAAGAACGTGAAGGTGCGTTTCAATATGTTCTTTGTGCTGGAGCCCGGGGTCCCAGTCAGCTCCTGCACCAAGGACTATGTGCAGGTCAACAACACAAGGTAGGTTTTGGGCAGCCTGTCTGACTGTGGCTCTGGCCCTTCAAGTAAGGAGGGGCTGTGTTCAGTTCTATGGCATTCTGTGCTTTCCTTAAACTTGCTGTGGGAGCAAGGTGCTGTGCAATTTGGGTTGAGGCAAGGTAGTGCTGGGGTCTGGCCTCACAGCTCAATGGCCAGTGGTGAAAGCAGATCCACGCTCCCTGTTCTGAACATCAGACAAAGGGTTTGTTGCATGCTGCAGCTGAAAAAAACCCAAAGATGGGCCGTGGAGCGTCACATTCCATGCATTTTGTGCAGAAAGGCAGGTCCATGAGGAAACAGCTGGTGTGATTTTGCTTGGATGAGTATTTCCCCATTGTTAGGCTGACTGCATCCCCTTCTCTGATGCATTTACTTTTAAATTTACTGTTAACTCTTACACAACCTAATGGAAGCTGGACTGAAAACACAGTGTGGGACTGCATAGGGGAAGCAAGCAGTGTTGTTTCACAACATTTTGGGCAAGGGGGCTGACCCTTTGAGGAGAGAGGGTTTCAAAATCAGAATCTGTATCTCTGTTCCTGGCTAGCTCCTGTTGTTCTTCCTTGTGAAGCAATTTCCTACTGACCCATCATGGGAAGAGATCCTGGGGCTTTAGAGGCTGCTCTGGATGGATTTGAGATCAGAGAGACAGTGATCAGCTTCAAATCAGGGATCTGGGTGAACTTGTGCCTGATTGTCATCAAGGCCACAGTTTGGTGTTGCTTGCAGCTGGCTCCAACCTTCTGCCAGCTACAACAAAATCCACCACTTGTGTGCAGGCACTGAGATCCAGCAACTCGTGCTCGATTCTGACCTGCTCTGTTTTCTGCCTCCTTGGCTGTCTGCCCACCTGAAGTGACCCTGTGTGGCGATGGGGAAATCAGGGATGTAAGAAGGGCTCCTCACTGTTGATCTGTCACACTCCCTTGGTGTTCATTTTCTCATTTACCCATCAGGTACTGCGGGGAACGTTCCCAGTTTGTGGTGGCCAGCAGCACCAACAAGATAGCAGTGTATTTCCACTCAGACCGTTCCTACACAGACACTGGTTTCTCTGCAGAATACCTGTCCTACGACTCCAGCGACCGTGAGTTGAAGCCTGGAGGCCATGGGTGGGAACTGGAGGTGTTCTGCAGGATAAATGACCGGGGGCTCTCCCTGTTCTACACTTCTTCTGTCTTCCTGTAAATCAGGAAGCATGCTTTTCTGGGGATAGGAGCACGTCTTGTTTTCCTGCTGATCTCCTTGTAGTCCTCTGTTCTGAGGGAAAGCTTTTTTTTACGTTGGATGCTGCAAGGAGGAAGCTCAGAGCACTGGGAAGTACCACGGGGGGGGCAGCTGCAGGGCTCACATGTTGTTTTGCTTCTCCTCCCTCCCAGCCTGCCCTGGCAAGTTTGCCTGCAACACCGGGCGCTGCATTGAGAAAAGCATGCGCTGCGACGGCTGGTTGGACTGCGTGGATGGCAGTGATGAGCGGTCCTGCAGTAAGTGCCTGCCTGCCTGCCTGCCTGCCTGCCTGCTTGAGGGTGCTGTGCTGGGTTTGTTCTGGCAGTGAGCCTCAGTTCGGTTACAGAACTGGGCAGGAGTTGCAGAGTACCTGTGGAACACCCGTGTGATGCATGGATGTTGTTCCTGTATGCAGGAGTTTCTCCTCTTGCATTCACAGCGCTATCTAATATGTGTTATTGTTCCTGTTGTTTGAAGTTAATTAGGGAGGAGGGGATTCCCTGGTTTGGGATCTTGTCCTGAGGCTTGGGGCTGTTTTCTGAAGGAGAAATGTGCTGCTGGCACATGCTGTTTTCTGATGTGCTTGCTTCTGTGTGCTTGAGTTCCCACTTGGGAACCACCCAGATTTTCCTGTGGTGCCATGCATGTTGCTGGTGACCCCATGGGTAAATTGCAGGTCTCTCCCCTGATTTCTCTCTGTTCTTTCTCAGCCTGTACCGACCAGCAGTTCAAGTGCCAGAATGGCTGGTGCAAGCCCAAATTCTGGCTCTGTGACAACGTGAACGACTGCGGTGACAACAGCGATGAGTTGCAGTGCAGTGAGTAACTTGTGCTGTGGGCAGGATGGGCTGAGGGCTTGAAAAAGGTGAAGGGGTGAAAATGGTGGAAGCACCGGTGTTTGTAGCTGCAGAGGTTTTACCTATGTTGGAGGAGAGGGAGATGGATGCAGCCATGCAGATTTTCTGGGACCGTGTGTGCTTTGCTGTTTCTCAGGAGCTGCTCTCTCCTCAGGTTGTGCAAACGACAGCTTCAAGTGCAGCAATGGGAAGTGCATCCTCAGCACACAGAAGTGTGATGGCAAGGACGACTGCGGAGATGGGAGCGACGAGGGCACCTGCAGCAAAGGCAAGGATGGGCTGTGGTGGGGACCTCCCTTGAAATGCAGCCTCTTATGGATGTTCTTGTGGCTGGGCAGCCTGGAGAGCATTTCTGCCCGCAGAGACAAAGTCCTGGGGTGGGCAGAAGTGGGGAGGGGCTCCTGATCAGCACAATTTCCCCAGTGCTGGGACTAAACATTAAACATTAGGAAGTATTACTTTTCAGAAAGGGTGGTCAGGCACTGCAATGGATGCCCAGGGAGGTGGTGGAGTCACTGACCCTGGGGGTGTTCAAGGAAGGACTGGATGCTGTGTTGAGGGACATGGTTTAGTGGGAGCTATTGGGAATAGGTGAACGGTTGGACTGGGTGATCTTTTAGGTCTTTTCCAACCTTGGTGATTCTATGATTCTATGATTCTATGATTCTGTGATTCTAAACCTTCTCCTTTGACCTTCCTGCAGCAGCCCAGTCAACAGTTGCCTGCAAAGAGTACACATACAAGTGTCGCAATGGACTCTGCATCAGCAAGCAGAACCCAGAGTGTGATGGGCAGAATGACTGTGAAGACAATTCTGATGAGGACAACTGCAGTGAGTACCCAGCAAAGGGAATACGTGGGGTTCTGGGCTGGGCCACTTAAACCAATGTGTGGTAGAGAGAACCCCCGGGCAACAGCTTGAATCTGGAAACAGCTCTGTTCTTTAGCAGTGTGCTGAGTGCCTGCATTGTCCAAGATGTTTCCAGAGGGTTTACAAAGAGAATGCAGGGGTTTGTCTGCATGTTTACTGATTTGGCCAGTGAGTGTAGCAGATTTGTTTTTATGCTGACAGCTGATAGCGTCAGCCATCCCTGGTGTAGGAGGGAGCACTTGTGCTGTTCTGGAGAAAGGAAAAGGGGGTGGTGGGAGTATCTAAGTGTCTCTTCTCCTTCCTCATCCCAGACTGCGGGACCCGCTCCTACGTTAGGAAATCACGGATTGTTGGTGGGCAGAACTCAGATGTGGGAGAGTGGCCGTGGCAGGTCAGCCTCCATGCCAAGAGCCAGGGCCACGTCTGCGGAGCCTCGCTCATCTCAGAGAGCTGGCTGGTGTCAGCAGCACATTGCTTCCTGCAGATTCAAGGCATCAGGTAGGTGGGAGCTTCTGCCAGGGACACTTTGTGCAACAGATCTGAGGGCTGCCTGGTGTAGCACTGTCACAGATGGATGGATCTGGGGGAGAATCTTGTAGTGAAGTGGAAGCAGACAGTTGGAGGACACTGTTTACTTGTTGAGGTGTCACATGAGTTCCACTTTGTGTTTGCAGGCACTGCGGTGATTGATAGGTGGTGGGATTTGGGCTGACAGGTCACCCAAAGTGTCACTTCCCTTTTCAGCCACTTGCTTCTCTGAATAAGCAGAAAGATTTGTAGGTTTTGAAGACAGCAGGCACAGTTTGTGAGCTGGGATGTCTGCTGGCTCTGCACAGCAGGACCTCACACCTGTACTCTGTGACTCCTGCAGGTACTCAGATGCCAGCCTGTGGACAGCCTACCTGGGCCTGACCAACCAGAGCAAACGCAACGATGCCAACGTGCAAATGAGGCAAATCAAGCGCATCATCTCCCACCCCTACTTCAATGACTACACCTACGACTACGATATTGCTGTCCTGGAGCTGCAGAGCCCTGTCACCTTCTCCTCTGTCGTCCAGCCCATCTGCCTGCCCGATTCCACACACAACTTCCCCGTGGGCAAGGACCTGTGGGTGACCGGATGGGGAGCGACTGTGGAAGGAGGTGAGCACTGAAGTGACTTTGTTTGCTGGGAGACCAGAATCAGATGTGATTCTCTTGGGAGTGCACACAGTTAAGGTCTCAGAGCTCAAGGGAAAACTGCACTGGGAAAAGACAGTTGTTGCAGTGGGGACTTAGCTGATAATTAATTGGTCACTTGTTAGGAGCCGGAGGCACGAATGAAGCGTACAGGTACAAGACTGTACAGGGGTGGGGGCTGCTGCTAACTGGACTTTGTGCTTACGCTGCTTCTGGTCCTTGCAGGCAGTGGATCCACCATCTTGCAGAAGGCAGAAATCCGGGTTATTAATCAGACTATCTGCAACCAGCTGCTGACCGACCAGCTGACGCAGCGCATGATGTGTGTGGGGGTCCTGACGGGCGGCGTGGACGCGTGCCAGGTAGGCGAGCGCTCCGCTGCACTGCTGATAGCAGGGCCAGCTCTTTGCTCAGCACTTTTGATTCTGGCACACTGACTCCCATTTCCACACTCAATAATACACTGCACGTCCAATGTGGACCCTTCTGGGTTCGCACGGACGAACTAGAATGCATGGCAGCAGCAAATTGTGTTTATTGGTGCTGTGGTCTCATAAATGGATCACCGGGCCGGACAGCAGTGCAGCTGCACTCAATTATTGAGAGCCTTGGTGGCCCCTTATTTAGATTTGTTCAGCTGGTTTTATTCTGGCGTTCTGGATTCAGGGGGCTGGTTTTGTACACTGGATTGAACAGGAAATGGTAGGACTCGAATTAATCAAATTATTTCATCCCAATTTTATGATTTACTTTAAAAACTTTTTTTTTTTTTTAAATGTTTTTATATTTACTTTTTTTTTTTTTTTTGTGCAGGGAGACTCAGGAGGGCCCCTGGTCAGCGTGGAGGACAGCGGGCGGATGTTCCTGGCTGGCGTTGTGAGCTGGGGCGATGGCTGTGCACAGAGAAACAAGCCTGGAGTCTACAGCCGGCTGACAGCCCTGCGGACGTGGATCAAGGAGCAGACGGGGCTCTAGGGGCTCTGTGCACAACCCCCAGCCACAGCCACCTCCTGCACAGCACCGCCTGGGCACAATGCAGGGCTGTGAGGCACTGCCTGAGGAGCTGCCTCCAGTGTGAGCCTCTACCTCACCGCCTCCAAGACTCCCAACCCTGGGCTGCTGGGTGAGCGCAGCCCTCAGTACTTCGTCCTCCCAAAGCCACGTCTCCACCTCTTGATTTCTCTCTGATGGGGAAGCGAAGGCGGTTCCCAACCCAACCCTGAATGAGCAGTCAGGGAACAGAGAATTACCAAAATTTCAACTTTATTTAAAAAAAAAAAAACAAAAAAAAAAACTTAAAAAAAAAATTAAAAAAAAAAAAAAAAAAAGAAAAAAACACTCAGTGTTTTTCGAAGCAAGCTTCCTGGGAGAGGTTCAAAACAGTCTCTCATCATCTATTTCATCTCATTCATTTATCTCATTAAATTGTTTTTAAATTGTCATCTGCAATCTTCCATCTGGTCTTCAGTGATGAGGGGGGAGAAGCTGTCAGCCTGTGTCCAGCTTGGCTTCTGCTCTTCTGTCCATGCAACGCTGCGTAAGGAGCCCAGGGCTGCAGCACTGAGGGAGAGAAGCAGAGCTGCAATGTGGCTGTGGAGGGAAACCTGGAAAAGGCAGGGCCCTGCCCCGAGAGCAGAGAAATAGGCATTACCTTCTCCTCGTGCTTCACGTTGCTCCTTGGTTGCTCCATTCCCACTGCACTGAGGTGCTGCACTGCGCCGTGACTTCGTCCTCACAGGGAGATCCCAGGGACAGACAGGGGTGTTCCCACAGCTTGGCCCCTGCAGAAACAAAACAGGTTAGCTGGGCCTGCTCCCCAGCTGTCGGATCCCCCACTCTTTTTACCTGTTTTAAGGAAAAAAATGCAACCCTGTGACTGCTGAATGTGATTTCTTTTTCCTGTGTAGCCCAGTCCTGACCCCAGGAGAACACACTCCCAGTGAATGTAGTTAAATCTTTATCTGTAAATACATTATTTTTTTTTTGTAAGACTCTCTATGAAATGGAAGTGCTCTAATAAACTGGGATATTTTATAATACGTGGTCTGGGTGGTTCTTCATGGGCTTCTGTGCAACCATTCCTCTTCTAGGAAATCTGCAGCACAGATCCTCCAATCCAAGCTCATTTCCCTGTGAACAGCTGTCCAAGGAAGAGACTGAGCATCACAAATGGAAGTGCTCCAAAACCCTTTACCTCTTCTTCTCAGCAGCTGCACCAGGCTCCAACTTTGGGCGGCCTCAGGTCCCCAGCCCATTCCAGAGAGGCACAGCTCCTTTGTGCTGTACTGGAAGAGGTGCTGACACAGGCAGTGCTGCAAACAGCTTCGCACCTGGAAACAGAGACAGCACTGAGCTGCTGCAGTTTCTTCTGTAGCTGGCACAGGGACTGCTCTGTGTGCTCAGCTGCACTGCTTCCTACAGCCAGGAAAGCAAACCCTAAGCAAAAAGCAGAAAAGCTGAAAAAAAGGAGGAAGAACCACACACCCCAAAAGACACCACAAAGAAAAAGATAAATAAAACACCACAAGCCACCAACAGCTCACAACCAAACCGTTTCTCAAATCCTAAGTCCAGCCTGGACACAGGGTGCAGATGGATTTGTGCAGCACACAGCTGCTCTCTGTTCCTGCCAGCTTCTTTGTCTGGGGGACAGAAGGATTTTAACTGCTTTATAGTCTCACCAGAGTGCTGCAGAGGCAGATGTGGCTGCCAAGGTGATGCATTGGCCAGGGTGTGCCAGAAGCACAGCTGCTAGGGCTCGCAGGGGAGGGCCCGTGCTTCACTTCTCCCTACAAAGAGACAAAGAAACGTCTTTGTATCTGAGCTTACACAATGCTGCAACAACATACAAGCCTTTACTCTGGGCAGTCACAGCCCAGGGTCTGTGACACAACACTCACACATGGGCAGGCTGGGCTGTGTGCCAGGGTGACCCCACAGCTGCAGCACTTTGTTCTGGTCACGCTCTCAGCATTTGGAGGAGACACTCAGACTGGAGCAGAACAAGCGGGGTGCAGTGCATGAAGCTGCTCCCCAACCTGAAGGATGGACGCTTGCAGGACTGGAGAGCAAGGACTGGCTGTAGTCACATTACAGCTCATGTGCACAAGTAGGGAAGCAGCAGGCAGGTGCACACAGCTTGCTGCTGTGCTCCTCCTGAGCCCGGCCTGGCTCAGCACCTCTTGTTTTCCCAGAAGATACAAGGAAGCTGCCATAAGCACAGCTCACATCTCCAAAGCTGCTGGGGTGCTCATACAGCCCTCTGTGGGAGCTTGAGCTGCCCAGAGGTCTCCCCTCTCCCCACACCCACTCCTGTGGTTCCTGCAGGTTTTCCTACCTCTGTGCAGACCCTCTGTCCAGTCCTGCTGCTGGGTGGGCTCCTGGTCCGGTGCAGGCAAATCCTCTCTTGGTTTTCTCACTAGAACAGAACCTGGAGGGAAAAGTCAGTCATCCACGCTCCAAAGCTGTGCTCCCCACCTCCCAACCCAGCTCATGCTGACAGGCTCAGCCCTGTGGTGACAGGCTCTTTGCTGAGCAGGCAGGAAGAAAGCTGTTTTCTGAATTCCTCTCATCAGCACGAGAACAGAAAACTGCCCTGGGGCTAAAGCTGCCTTTTTGGCTGTGGAGGTTTCCACCTGCAGCACTGGGAGATGCCTGCCACAACTGCAGCAGTTTAACAGCTGCAGCACACCGCACAAGTGGGTACAAATGGGCACAGCTGCACCCCTGAATTCCTGCAGGAGGTAAGGGAGGACAGTGATCAGAAAAATGGCCCTGGGATTTAGAGCTTTGTGCTACCTTGCAAGGCTGGAACGGGCCGGCCAGAGTCCTCTGCCCATCATCTCCCACCAGCTCGGGAGGCACAGCTCTTCTTCATGCAATCAGACAAGTAACCTAGCTTCAAAAACAAGAAAAGATCAAATACCTGTCAGCACCCACCCAGACTGCAGGCTGCTACTGAGTCCGCAGAGTAGATCGAAGTCCTCTAGACCAGCAGCACTCAAACTACTGCAACGGGCAAGAAACAAACAGCATCAGAGAGCTGGAGACCCACCAGCCCTGCCTCACCCAGGAGCAGGTGGGCTCAGCCTTACCTCCAGGCAGCACAAATGAGTGCTCGCTCCCAGCTATCCCCAAGACAGGCTTTGCACTAAGCATCATCTGCCCTGAATTACTGGGGAAAGAGAAGGAAGGTTTCTTAAAAGCCTTTTTGGCTCAAGCATCGATTTCATCCTTGCTTTTGCCAGCACGTTTCCTTCATGCCCCAAACATACATGTAACCAGAAACTAACTGCCAGCAAAGGGCTGCATTCACTTCTTCGTGAGCCTGCCTCTAATGGAAAGCTCCTTCCTCCCACCACTGTGGGCTCCCAGTGCCACCCACACCAGAAGGGGTGACTGAAAACCCTGGATAACATCATCTGATGCACAAAGGAGGCGAGCAGGGGAAAAACACACCACGCTGATCCTTGCTTTGGATGCGCATTTACTGTGCCTACAACTCGAGATGAGTTGTGCTTGCACTGCAGTCTTGAGGGTTTGGCACCACAGAGCTTGGAGTGGTTGGGACAAGAGCTGCAAACATTAATGGGTGGCTGAGCTATGGCTCCAGCATCACCTTCACCCTGGCAGAGAAAGGCCAGCACCCTTAAGCCTGCCTCCAGGGTTCAATAACCCGGGTCAGAGTATTGTGCAGACAAAAGGAAAGAAGCAGCATAGAACTGCCCTACCCCAAAGCTTTGCAAGCACTTGCTGCTTTGGAGCTGCACGATCACTGCTTTGCTTCCCTCCTTGCCCAGCTTCTGTGCTCACACCTCCTGCGGCCTGGTGAGTGCCAACACTGGGCTGCAACTCTCTAAGCTACATCAAGCTTAGAAGCCTCTATCAGGACTGGAGACCTACAGGCTTGGGACTCCAGTGATGAGACAGACAATTAATTCCCTAAATACCCGCCCTCCTCCCCCCTCCATTCCCTACAGCCTCACACGAGAGCACAGCAATCTTTCCCCTCACGTGCTTTCTTCCCTGCTGCTATTGCTGGCTTCTTGCAGCCCATTAAAGCAAGCCAAGGAGGAGTGCCAAGAGCAGGATTTCAGCAAGAGACAAAGCCTGCAGTAAGAGATCAGCCCTGGGGAAACTGTGAGGCATGCAATGGGGGGTGGAGGGGCTACCAGAGGCCTGGATGCACCCAGAACAAGCAGGTCCTATGCAGTACTAAAAGCTGTCAGAGAAACCAAGGAAATCCCAGCCAAGACTCCCATGGTATCAGAACAACACGAAAATAAAGTCACACAATGAGCTGGCCTACCAGATGCCCTCTGTGCCCTAAGGCAAACAATACAGGACTACTCAGAGCTCAGCTCCTGCTCCTACAGAAGCCATTTCTTCATGAAGAAAAGAATAAATGAATAAAAAAAGCACGATTAAACCAAGCTGTGCCCTGGAGCTCAGACCCCACTAGATGTCCCTCTCAGCCAAGGCACAAATGCTCCTGGATCACCACCAGGAGGAGGACAAGAGAAATCCAAAGGCCAAAGGGGAGGGAGCCAAGGGGAACAAGTGCAGAGAAAAGGAAGGAGCAGGCAGGGAAGGGAAACACGAGTAGGCAGCACCAGATGGAGAAGAGAGCTAAGCAGTCCATAGCAGCTGGCTTTGCCTGCAAGGTGCTTAAATGAGGTACTGTGGGGGGGGGGGAAAGTGACCCATAGAGTCCCTGTGCTTGGGTTGGGCAGCTCAAGGAGTTTCCTCCAGCAGCCCACTTGATGTTTTTCCCAGCTCACCAGGCAGCTCCAAACCATTTCCCCTGGGCTGTTGTTCAAATGATTGCCTCCAAGTGGCAATGTGTCAGAGGAAACAGCCCTCCTGCTGCTCCACGTTAATAGAAACAAGCTGACAGAACCCAAAAGGTGCTTCATTTCAATGCAGGGTGCATCTGATGCTGTGGGATTTAGGTACTATTTGGAAGGAAGAATGGGCTCACACTGGCATCCTCTGCATGGCACAGCACAGCACTTAAACCTACCGCAGCCCAACAGCAGATCTGGCACAACGTGCATTATCTAACACAAGCTGGAAGGTACTTAAGCTCCGCTCTGAACCAAAGGAAAACATCCCACACAATTTCTTGTAAAACCTATTTACACAGCCTGGCTGTACCACAGGCACACACAGCAAGAAGGCCATCCTTTGAGATGAATAACCTCAACCCACTCAGCAGCATTTCTGCTATACAGTTACTCACCTGTGGATGGCTGTAGCTTCACTGCATTTAACAAACACCTGGTCCTCCTCAGTTTCTGTGATCAGCAGCTCCAACCCAGCTGATGCTCCTGGACTGGGGCTCCTCAGATCACGGGTGCGCTGGGCAGAATAGGTCTCACCTCCTGTAGCACAAGTGTGAGAGCAAGAGGAAGATACCTTTCATGCCCTCCAGCCTTTGGGGAATGTCAAGTGACGCCACTGACAGACATGGCAGAAGCTACAGAGTTCATGGGAAGCTCCTGACGGAACACGCGCATCCCAGCTGCCTGGCACAGTTGGCAGCCATCTCAGGAGATGGATCATCTCATCCCAGGGCTGAGACAGCAAACCAGGGACAGAGGTGAGCTGCCCAGATTTAGAAGCAGACTGACAGAAAGCAAGAGCTGAATGCTCTGTGGGAGGGCTTTCCAGCAGCTGCCGCTCAACACAGAGCAGACAGCAAACCTCCTGCACAGCAAACCAGAGCTCACACCTAATCTAACGCTACCCCTCTCAGAGCTCACAGTGGGAAATAAAAACGACAGCAGTTTTAAAAATAAAAGAGCTTGCTGTCACCCACGGGGAACATGAGATGCTTTGGCAGAAGCAGGTCTTGCAGTCACCTTGTTTTAACTTCAGTCAGCCACTCTTCTGAGATGGTGGCTTGGGCTGCCTCCAAAAAGAGGGGTCACTTGCTGTATGTTGATGACCCTAAAAAACAAACAAACACCACCACCACATCAACCAGGAGTAGAGTCAGATGCCCATTTTGAAGCTGGACAATTCTTCTGGTCCAG